GAAGACCGTAGAAGACGTTGCGCCGTCAGTTGCCGCGATTATGAGCTATGCTCACTGCCAATTTATCTGGTGTCGGGATCACAATGCTGTGCGTGCATTACTTGGGGTCACTGGCCGCGAACCGTATGATACAATATTTCCACGCTCTTTTCCTTATTTGTTCAACAGGATCGAACCGCATCGACGCTGCACTTACGATATTCCCGTAAAGAGTTAATATGCTAATAGAGATGTCGATGCCAGTTTCGCAGAATTATTTACGATCGCGATAACGCGATCTGCCTCCCGGGTAATACCGTCTACTATGGATAATAAATTCGCAAACATTATCGATCATCCGTAAAAGTAGATTGTCTCGGCGATGACCAAACGGGAGCAGCCTTTGTCTTTACTCTGTAATACCATTGTCTTGTGTTATAATACCTCTTTGTGCGACGGTACAGTTACAAAGTGGCACGGTAAACGGGCCACGTGCTCCTAACGCGGAGTCGCACAAATATTTCCTTCCCGTTTTACACCAATTAACGATTAAAAGAAGTCTAGATCGCACCCTTTCGTTTCTCAAAGTAACTCGCTATTTGGGAGAGTCCCTACAATCGACTTATTTTAAAATAAGAATATGAAGTGAAAATTTCATTATTAAAAATTATTAAAGTCGTATATGTTTTGCAAATGTTATCGGGCTACCTTAACACCTGGAATCTACACACGTTCGGATCGGTAACACGCACGCATGCAGAATATCGCGAATCGTCGTGTTCCCTTTGATCGAAGTCCGTGGGAAGTCGACCAGAACCGTTCACTTTCGCGATTTCTAGTTGCCCGCGGATTCTCTCTACTCTGTTCCCCCGCACGAAATCGAAAAATTGCAGGCTATCGCAAGCGCACGATTAACCGGGATAGAAAAATCTTACGAGCGTCCGTATAATTTTTTAGTTGGGATCGAACATCTTTTTCCGTGGAGTTTTAAAAATACGGAGATGAGCCAACGGAGATGCACCTGACGTTAGAGAGGAACGTGGCGCGTCTTCGAGGCGATTCGAACGATTCACCGAGCCGATGACATAATCGACGAGTGCGTGCATACGAATCGTGGTCACCGCGACTCTGCCCACGGAAGCGAGCGTGCGATTAATGCGACTTGGCTGTTGCAAGACCGAGGAAAAAGGGTTATAACTGCGAAGACGTAACGAACGCGTGACGCAATCGACTGAAATTACAATAATCCCATATTCATCTTTCTTCGACCGGTTGCAAAATACTGCGCGTGCTCGACCGATGATTGCAACGGTGCTTCTACCATTCCTTTCGAACGACACTTTTAACGATTGCGATACATGATCGTTAGACCGTTTCATGGATTCGTCAACAAAGTCTCATCTGCAGAAAATAAAAGGGAGTATGCGAAATAATAATCGCATGACGAATCGCGAACGTGTATTTGTATCTCTGCAGTATTTCTGATAGACGAAACATGTGAGCCTGGTCAGAGCTGGTCTATGATCAAACGCGATCATCCGAGTCTATGTTTACGCCGTTTCGACCCGCAGTCCACCGATTCAGCCTGATTGGTTTTTACGTTGAAACACAGAACTTGGAAGGAGCCACGGAAAGTAGGCGAAGAGAACAAAAGGGGTAGATTGAAAGGCTGGTACGTTGGGAGAATACAAGAGAAGTTGGATAGGATCGACGATGACAACGAGGGCACTGGCTCCTATTCAAAAGTCTTGTTCTCCAGTGAATCAGCTGATCGAAAAAGGAGTCGAACTCCGTACGAAGCGAACTTGGAAGTTTGCGAAGGGGACGTCTCGTAAAAATGAGACCGTGGAAGGCCGTGCAATCCCTTTAATGGAAGGCTCTGTTATCGCGACCTTCGATTTCATCGAACATTATCTCGAGGGCAATCCCGTGGTTACGGGAAGGAGGTTCGTGACGAATGATCATCTACGGGCACTGAGCGTCGGGTTTGACCTAAAAATTAGGGTGAATTCCGCGAAAACCGCATACAGCCGACTCCGTGCCTGGCTGGCCGCTCGTTCTTGAGTGTCTCGCTCAGCGTTTTCGCGACTCGAGTGGCCACACGAGCCTTTCAGACGTTGGAGTAGACGTTGGACCAGAACGAGGGTCGACGAGGAGGGACGGAGAAAAAAATGAAGAACGAATCTATGCAAAGAGAATCGACGAGAAAAAGTCGTTCGCGTGGAGATTCCTTAATCACCCTTGATTTCTAGCCACTTCTGGCTAATTGACTCGAGTTCAGACCGCTTTTAACCACGAATTAACTCCGAGCGTCGGGGCAAACGAGCTTTCCAAATTTCTCAGACGCACTTCAGCGCCTTTCGTCGTTCGTTCACATGCGGATCGATGCGGCTCTCGCCTTATGCAAGAGAAACGGTTGGTACATAGAGAAATGAACAGAATTTCACAAAGGAGGCGAGAAAAATGACGGCTGTTTTGTAAGAGATTTTAGCACGAGACAGAACAAAAAACTTCGAGTATGGTCGCATTGGATGGCCCGAGTGTCGTGCATGAACGCCTCAGCAACGAAGAATTCTCGAATCTGGGACAGTTTGATCGATAGTGGCGTAAACCTGGCCGCCGCGACTCCAGAAATGGTAGCCTAATTGGATCCTCTTTAAATAAGTATTTCAATTTATAACGTCATTCGGGCGCGTCGCTCTTTCAGAGGACGACCTAAGCGTTTATGTAGAATTCTTTGAAACCAAAATACGAATCAGTCGGTTAAAGGACCTTACCAGTGTGAAACGTTAAAAAATCGAATTTTTTTTCTGCATTTTTCGAAAGTTTATACCTTTAAAAATATCATACTAAAATTTCAAGATCGGATCTCAACTAGTTTTCGAGTGGCAGCCTTCTAATAGTACTAATATAATATAAGTAATAATGTAATAGTTAATAAATGCGTTTTTCTCGAAATGGTATTTTCAAATTTGCTGACACTATAACTCAAAGACTAATTATCCAAGAATAATTATAATTTTAATGGAGTGTATATACATGCTTTATTGTTCAATAATCTAAGATATTCATTTTTTCGCCATTTTTTCAAATTTTAACAAAGCTCCAATATCCTAGATGATACAACGGAGAATACCTTCTAGTCTAAGAGCGTCTTTTTTCGAATTTAAAAGACGTGTAAAGCGATACTTCGTTTGCGAAGGAAGAGGATGGAACGAGGATGCGAGCAATGATATGAAAATAGTATAGAGGAATGGCTAGCGAGTTCTGCTTTGAAAAGTACCGTGGGGTTTGTTTGACCAAGCTCTATTTGGATTTCGCGAGCCACTCGTTCAAGGTCGCGCGTCGTCTGCAGCGTTCATAGTGATGCACCGGCGTGCGTTCTGCACCGTCGAGAATCGATAAGCCACGGCAAAGGGATTAAAACCCCTCTGCCGTTGTCTATCTGAACACTACAAAAATGTTGCACCCGCCTATTCTTTTTTTATTTAATCAACCGGCGTGCTTCCCCGATAAATCGTTCACCTTTCTAATTTCCACTCAACGGACGAACACTGCGTGCCACCTTTGTTATTCCCGTTCCTATCGTGAACATTTTACGCAGCGTGGACAAGTAATGGGAGCGTGTAATTTAGAGAAACGATTACCGCAACCCTCGAGGAAAGAAGGGAGTACATAAACTGGATCCGGGTTAATTAACTGGTGTACATAATGGCAATGTAAGGGGTGAAACGTCTTCTCTAAATTACCCTAAAATATGTTAAGCCTCTATTAAAATGATTACTCCAGTTCTTATAAAAAAGATGCTATAATTATACCAACTTTCTCCGAGTCTCACTGTATTTTACTTTACCTTCCAATCCATTTATAAGCGAGCATCCCTCGATAACGGATATAAGTACTAAGTTTCCAAATGGTATCCTAAACCTAAATTATAACCTAAAGTATTTATATTAAGTATAATTATAATACTATAATATAATTGTATATAAGTAGAGTATAATTGTAAACTATCGTAAGACCGAAGTTGTACTCCATGAATCACGTGACAAACGTTGCACGTGCACGTAACAATAAATCGGAATGACTACCGGTGCGCACGGTAGAATTTAAGTACGCATTGGCGAAATTAACTTTTCATCGTGACCAAGGCTCGGCTCGATCGTAGTTGCGAGAAAACGGGAAACCCTACGAACAACCGGCGTAGCATTCGTTACGTGCGATTTAGTGAATACGCAACGATTAGAATTATTGCGCGAATTAAGCTTGGTAGATAAATTAATACAAGTATACGAAATGATCTAATTTTAGAGCGCGGCTCAACGACACATTGAAGCGCTAATCCGCAGCTTTATCAAACGGCTGCAATGCGTGGATCCGTAGACTTATAAAACCGCCCGCTGACGATCATGGTCAGTCGATATCGGCTCTTCTTCTTTTTTTTTTTTCATTTTTCATAGCGAGCGAAACGACCGTTTCGTTTTCAACCAGAGCCACGGCTCCACGAATTTTAACGACACCGTAAAGCGCGACTATTTTAGGAATACGATGGAAGAAACGCGCTTAACACCGGAGATGAGCGCACGATAATGTTGTTCGAAGGAATATTATACGATTAAGACGACTGTCTGGTTAATTGAGTCGTAAAATGTTGTAGGATCGAAGACTGAATCGTAATAAACCGGACGACGGTCGATTATAAATGGGATTTTGTAAATGGCAGTAGACGCAGGTGCCGATTTCTCTGGATATCTTTATTTTTAATACGCCAACGAGAGAGATATAAAAATTGCGTCAATGTCAAGTGGCGTGTAACGTGTCACGACTTGTCCTGAAAATCAGGGACAACTTCACAGTTCATTTTTTTTCAATTCTGAATGAAAATTACGTGCGTCGTAAAAGTGCGTTCCTCGTACACGCACGTACGCACGCTCCGATCTTGAGCATGATAGCAATCAATAACATAATACTGACAACGAAAAGAAAATAAGTAAGGGAATGAAATTTGACAGGTGACATACCGTGGTCGCTTCCTTCGACACTTTCTCGTCCCGTTGAAATTCAGTAGATGATCGTCGCGGCACAAATGGATCCACTAAAATTACCACTCGCGTCGCGCAACGAATCTCGTTTCCTTTTGGTTCATTCGCGAGCGTGTTCGATCCGGGAACGCCGAAACGGTGTACGCGAAAATTAAATGGAGAACGAAAACACCGGGTAAATGCGAAACGAACAACCGCACCTCTGAAGCTTGCAGAAGCAAACTGACGTCTCTCGTGCAGCAAACTTTCGTGTAAGGGTGCAGCACGCGCGTCGAATGGCGGGGAACCGCACGGTTAAACCAATCGCGATCGATCGTTCACCGTGCATTGACCCCCTCTTCGAGGTGCTCGTGAAACAGCGTTTCACCCGGTTCAGAGTAAAGGACCAGGATGAAACGATATAAGATCGCGATTCAACGCGTGACAGGAAGCGAAGGCGAAACGATCGATTGATCGAGCGTATCTTCTCAGCTTCCCCATTGAATTTAAAGGAAATTATGGTTGCTATGGAACCGAGAAGACATGCAAGTACGAAGACGTATCTTAAAGGCGCATGCGTCCACGTGGATCACTATGGTTACGGCGGTGAGTCTGAGGTGAAATACACGCGCCTTTTTTAGTACGCCTATAATTAATAATTAAGGGTAGCTCACCTGGCAAACGATAAACTCGAAATAAGTAAAGTACTTTTGACAATGGAATACATCGCCACGGTCGTTGAATCGATGAAAATACTTCACGCAGCCACTGTTGACGACGAATTTTTCGTACAGGCCAAATTTTTTCCTACGATAGCAACTTTCCAATAAACAGTCCGATAGCAGGATTTCACTGTAGTAATTTTGAAAGTTATAAATGGTGTCTTCCGATTCGTATGGACGGACAATGTCGAATAAGCTTGGGATTCTCTTGCACAGAACTGATGACATGATACGAACAATGACGGCTTGTGATCACTGCTTTATTTTCACCCATTTTACTACAGTACATCTATTATATCTTTACAAAATATTTCATTAATGGGTGAATGGCTCGTCTGATTGAGGATTTGAAGATAAATTTGAAATTTTGGGTATAAATAAATGTTTCACGCTACCGTACACTATAGTATGTTCGATCATTTGGCTCGACACGAAGCTGCGCGCAATCCCATCCACTGCGCGAAATTCAGTTAGTAAAAAGTTCGTCGAAATATATGACACTCGTTTAATTTTTCACAAACGTTCCTTTTAATCACTGCATAAAAAAATGAATACCTCAAGCGACACGGTTTACACGCGATATTTGGAATTATTATTTCTCGGAGTAGATTTGAAAACTGTAAAAAACTTGGAATCGTTGAGTTCTCCATTGTAAAGTGTGCATCAAAATTTGTCAATTAACTGCAGTATGTGTTGCTGCTCCGCTTCTCTCCATTCCGAATCCCCAGCGTCGCCGAGATTTCCCGCATACTCTGTTAAAAGTAAATTCAATATACAAACCGTTGATAGAGACATGCATAATGAAAAACATACCTCGCATGATGTGTCTGATAGTTTTGAGAGATGCTCTTCTTTGAGCTAAGATCCGAGTTACTCGTTGTTTCACAGCTGGCGGACACCCAGTGCACGCTTCTAAGAGTACGTAATCTACTAATTGCAAAATGAATAGGCCACCGTCTAATCTTCTCAGGTACGATTCTTCTTCGTCCTCGTCGTCCTTTGTATTCTTCTCAACTTCCTCCACTTTCTCAAGATATTTAAAGTGCAGTTCCATCAATCGATCTACCTTCTCGTAATCATTTTCTGTAAATTTACTGAGTAACCTTTGACGTTGCTGACCCTTACAATTTCTCAACATACTTGCTATAATCGATACCACATGTTCTGTAAAACGACAGACAGACATAAAACTATTGCCCACCAAACGTGAATAAAAGAAAGTTAATCGGTTTCGTTGATTACCTTCATGCTCTTCCGCAGTGAGCATTCTCTTTCGATTTTTTGTTGGTGTTTTCATGAACAAGGGGAATATCGTTCTTAGTCCGAGAATATCAACGAATTTACTACAATTGTCTCTTCCATCGGGACCATTCATTGCATGATCCAATACCTGTAATAATATTTTTCGACATTGATAGTTATTAATACTTAACGACCCGTGAACTCTTACCTTAAGAGAACCATTTCTAGACATCTTCTTTTCGCGCAACATTAGATTCATGAGCTGGAGGCCCTCTCCTCTTAAAAACCTGTCTCTGTTTACAGTTGCCATTAAACTCGAACATAACACATTAAACAAATTTTCCATCATTTCTTGCTCCTCGGCTGTTTGAGGATCGTGTCTTTTATAATACTGAAATCATCGAAAATATAAATAAAAAAAGGGGTGAATAGAATAAACGTCAAGAATGTACATACTGCTAACTGTTGCAGTAGTACATCGATTCCATCAAGTTCACCAAGGAGTAACCTGTTCTCTGGTGTATTTTGCAAAAGGATGGATAGAAGTTCGCTGGCGTAAAGTTTGTTAGCATCAAATGGAGTTTTCGTTTTGATTCTCCTTAACAGCCATTGCATCAGTCCTTGCTTCCCGGCGTCCGAACACAGTTCTGGTCTGAACTCCAAAAGATTTTCAAAGATAGCTGCAATGATATCCTGTTAAGATCTCAACTGTAACAAATACATAACAGATTAATCCAGTACTGCTCACCTAAGGTATTGTAAACTCCATCGCTCTCCTCTTTCACCAATTCATCCAGCCTTTCTAAGTTTTGCACGAGCAGAGCACAAACTTGCTGCTCCAACAAAGCATCGATCAATGTGTCTGCACCCTCTTGGCTCTCATGCAAAATATCTACGTCTGTTAGCTCCTGTAAAAGATCTACTACTCCAACTGCTATGTCTGTATTCTCGTGAGACAGCAATTCGAGTAAAGAGGGTACAGCACCTAGATCCACCATCAGTGGATACAAATCTGGATTAGTGGCGACGACGTGAAGCTCTTGCAAAGTCTCATGCAATTCTACTTCCGATTCCATGAATCTATCAAAATTAAAATAATTTTTTGTCAGGATTTAATTTGACACTCTATCATTATAAGGAATGACATACTTCTCTGGTTGATCTGGAAATTTGACCCTCATTTCTTGATTCCTGAGTGCTCTCTTTTCAAACAAGAGGACCATCCTTTTGAGTGTGGCTTCGTCTAATGCCTCCACTTCAGGAGCTTCGGTCTCTACATACTTTAGAATATCTTGCTTCTCCTTCTCGGTCAATTGTGGTTCGATCACATCGTTTGCTGGTGAAGGTAAAGCAGCTCTGATGGGTGTAGCGGGCTCACTACTCCTAATTGGAGTCGTTTCAACTTCCCTTGGCTGCCTGTATCTGGCATGGTATGGTGTTTTAATTACCTTCTTCGGTTTCTTAACATTCTCCCATTCATCATCGTCATCCTCTTCCCCTGCTGCTGGCCTCTTTGGTGTGTTCGGTGGCTAACAAACGCGGAACTGATTGTAATTGACGCCAGCTTACACGAGGTTACGGACTCTAATATTTTAAGAGAGAGAAACTTCTAAATATATAGAAATAATTATTTAATTAAGTACGTACTTTGTACGACAGTAATTCGCCGATATCCATTTGTTAAACACGATCGACTTAGTTTTAAAATTAGAACGAGTTATGTGCACTGAACACGATTCAGTTCCTAGCCTCAGCACATATATGTTCCATTATTATAACTAACTGTTTAAAAACGCCAAAATATTGTGTGCTCTGTACTACAGGATAAAAATTGCACTTTCGATGGAATTATAAATTATTTATTTATGTTTACCAACATAAATTCTGTCATTTACAAAAGCCTCTCTTACATGCTACTCGTGTCTCACAACACAACTGAAGATGTCAGTAGCTTCCATTTAATAAAGCATAATTCTTTTATTGCTGTAGAGGAGTAAAAAATTGTATCAAAAGTTTTGTCTATCGTATAACGTCCTCAACAAGTACATATAATATAAGTATCAATAAAGTTTATAGATATTGTGATTCTGAATAGAGTTTGTTAATCACGCCAGTGTTTGACAGCAGTTGCACCAAGTTGCATGCTGTCTCTGTACACGTCATAACTTCCCTGAATGTTGAAAAGCGAAACATTTCGTCAAAAAATATGGAAAGTTTGTACCATCAAACGAACAAATTAGTTCAGGAAACTCAGCATCTTTTCTCGTTTCTTGAGAAAAAGACTCCTAATCTTGACGTTCAAGAAATAGAAGAAAGCATAGAATCAAAAATAAGTCTCATCAACAGGTAGTTATTTAATATTCTATCATTCTATGAATCCCAGAGGGTTTTCGTATTCTCTATTATAATAATCGTACTCGTTTCATACATACAATTTTGTCTCCTTGTCGATTTTAGTAATTGCGAAAGGTTAGACGTTCTGTGCCTGAAAGGTCCAATATATCAGAGGCAGAATGCTAAAATGCGTGTGGATCAATTGAAATATGACAGTCGCCACCTCGCAGCTGCCTTAAATTCTTGGCGAGGCAAAATGATTAGAAAGCAAAGGGAGGAGGCTGAAAGGGAAGCACTGTTATCCAGACAATTCACTACGAATGATCATGTAGACATCATGATAGATCACAATGTGCAACATAATTCGAGTTTAAAAAATGCGGTAAATGGGGTGGATGATCTTCTTCAGAGTGGAAGTAATATTTTGGATAATTTACGATCTCAGAGGATAACTCTGAAAGGAGCTCACAAGAAACTGATAGACATTGGCAATACATTGGGACTTTCTAATACCACAATGAGGCTGATAGAACATAGAGCAAAGCAGGATGGTTTCATATTGGTCGGTGGAATGATATTCACATTACTTGTAATAGTCTTAGTTATAATTTATCTTGCATAGAACACGTTTTATCTTTTAATGTATGCAGAGGAAATATTGAAATATCTCATTTAAGAAATGAGCAAGCAGTTGCTTTTAGACCTGTATAGAAATATTTGACACCTTTTTCATTGTACGAGATGCATTAAGTGTAAATTAGTATTCAATGCTTCACCCTTTGTACGTTGAATTAAATCTTGTATTATCAGTATAAAATCAGTAATTTGTTACTAGTTGTATATTGAACATGGATTTGTACATAATAAAATAAGAGTTAATAATTGTATAAGAATATTATATAAAAGAGGATTTAATTTACCTATTATATACTCTATTAATTAATTTTATTTACACGATGTTCCAAGAGAATATTACACTCTGTACATGAAGTTCCATCTACATACACTTGATAAGGACAATAAACCACGTGCAGACGATAGTTTTATGATTCGCGTGTGAATTACTTTACAATAAATTGATAAATAATAATTATACTTTCATGATTAAATAAAGATTATTGTGCATAGTCAATAAAAATTAATATCATTTTGTATTATAATACTTTTTATTACGAAAGACCTAATTTCTAGTAGGTTAGTCTCTGTTCTTCTCTACGTGATCTTTACTATATCGTACGGATGTCAGTTTATATTTTTGAAGATCTCATACCAACAATAGATATAAATCTTTTCTTATTTCATTCTTCCTTACAAATACACGTTCACGTTTTATACCGATACAAAATGTAAGATAGATGAGAACATTGAGAACGTAGACACGTTGTTTTAAACTTGCAAGCTTTGACTCAAAGCAGCGATCGCATTTGTTGTAAAAAAGACAATAAAAGGATTATGGATTGTTAAGGGACGATATGTTCACGTTATATTTCCAAAAATCGTGAATTTTCGTTCGGGGACAAATTCAATTTTTCAGCTAATGTGTAAAGTGCACGTGCTACTGTAAAATTATGTAACCAGTTTACGTTTTATTTTAAGGTTCTTATTTTTGATTGTATAAAAATAAGTATCTTGCATTACATTTT